TGAAACAAGACACACACATGTGTTTGCATCTATAAGATTTGGTAAGCTAAAACTGAATTACACAGCTGTTTCGTCCTTCTAGAACTCCTCAGTGTCGCTAGGGACCAAAACCTTCCTTAGATGGCCTGTTTAGCAAACAATGCAAATCAACAGAACATATTTCGATGATATTAAATGCACGTTAGTTCAAATGTGACCATAATAACACAAGTCCATTGGCATCTTGTGGAGGATTTTAGTGAATGGAGTTTCGATGTTACAGATTGGTACTAGAACCACTTGTAAAGTACTTTTGTGGCTTATATTTTGAAGAGTGTTTTCAGGTTGAGGAACGCTTAGAAAGCGTTTATCCAAGATTAAATTGGCAGGTGTCCAGTTCAGATTTATCAATATCAATAAACAAGTAAATATGTAGGTCACGGCTAGCTATGGATGAAATCTTACCCTGAATGACCTCCTGAGAAATCTTCTTGATAAAATAACAACAATTTTAAAAATGTACAATCTTTTCCAAAATTATTTAAAATATTAAGCTACCGATTAACTTACATATATGTAGGATCGGACCTTTTGAGGATCCTTGTGCCACTGCCAAACATTGTAGCTGACCATTGGAAAGTGTTGTTTCTGGTATGATTCAGCTTGGATAATCATTTTTGAAAAGAAACCATACTTTGCAGTACTTTTATGAGAAGTAAAATCAAAGAAAAAAAGAGGGCATTGACCAGGATTTGAACCCGGGATTTCTGGTTGATTGCTACCAACTGAGCTACCTTGTCAAGGGAAGTGTATTACCTCAAATGTGCTAAAGTTAAATCCAAAGCGAGAGTAACGGGCGGTTAATGTATTTACGAAAAAATCCCAGTGTAGTGGGACAGGGATCATTAAAGACTACTAAATGATATGGAAGTTATGACGTATTTTAATCGGCAAGCAGAGATGTGATTTCCATGCCAACATGTTCACACGTAAATTTGCCACAAATATGACATTAAGAGTCCTGTCGAATCGTAGCACCATAAAGTTGCCGTCCAACATATAATGTAGAGGAAAGAGACTAACCGGAATTTTGACCTCTTCTGTGACACCTCCACGTGACCATGCTGGTGTGTAAATGACCAGTGAGAGTCTTACAGCTGGTATTTACCTGCCATCGTCACATATAGGTGTCAATCACACACCTGTAAAACGACGTGTGTCTCTCTAACAGGTGTAAAATGATGGCTGACCAGCGAGGTCATGTGGTATGTTACGTGACCAATCATATCGTACATAAGACCCATCGGCTGTGTAAAGTCTTTTAGAAATGAAGACTTTATTGATTGTTCAACAACTGTAAAACATCATTTGTCAACTTGCATTAATCACAATTGTTTGTCCGTATGTACGCGCGCGGGGCGTATTAACGTAGGCGTATCCAGGGGAAACCAACATTGTGATGCAAAGGACCCGTACCTTTTCACGTCTGATAGGGGATTCGAATCCCCACCATATTCGTTAAAGGCGAGTGTGCTTCCCTTTACGCCACTCACCATACAGTCTTGTATTCATTACAAGAACTCTAATATGGTGTCAACTGTCACAGTTTGTCAAACACTAATTTGCGAGATTGTCTTATAACTTACTTAATTGCAAAAACTGATAATTGAGAAATGGTCATTTCAATAGCACCAATAGACTGCACGTGTTAATGGGCCGTGTAACAATACATAACAGGAATAATTTCTTTTTAATTTCTGTATTATGTACGAATTCGCTACATAATTTCAACCTAAAATGTATATGTCATAAAATGATCAATCTATCCACCACCTTATATTGTGAATATAATAGTCTCATTTAAAAGTTGGGGAGCAAAGTTTTCTTTTATAGAGAAGATAGATACGCGACTTTATTAGGCATCTTTCACGAGCAGTTATATAACATGTGTTATACACTATGTACCGCCCTTAATGTCCATTTAATAGCCACAATAACCCTATTGAACGGGCCGTAATTGTTTTCTTACCGCTGATAAGCCAACGGGAAATAGGTCTTCTGTTTCCCCCCTGAAGATGATAGTTGTCTTGCTATGTGTTTACTTGAGTGATATTGATCCTCTAAATCTAAGTACATAAGTAAACCTCGCGATTACAGGGCATGGAATACTGGTAATAAAAGTGTTGGTGTTCCCTGCCAATGTTGGCGATATACAAATGACCTGGTACACACGGACAATGTCCATCCTGCTCTACTGTCCACCTACACACAACACATGAACACATTGTTCCAGAACTGTAATTTTAGATTTTACTGATCAGAAGTTTGCCCAATTCACAAAAGAAAACATGTTAATTTCAATATGTCATACCTATTTTGGCTGAATTGAAAAGCTGTGTTCATTGGTTGGCACAATTTAATAATGATAAAAGCTGTGATTTATCGAAGTACGTATAACGCCAGTGGCTGTATCTATTCGGTCCGAGTTTTGCCCAATTCACAAAAGAAAACATGTCAGAGTTTCAATATAATGTCATACTTATTTTGGCTGAATTGAAAAGCTGTGTTCATTGGTTGGGACAATTTAATAATGATAAAAGCTGTGATTTATGGAAGTACGTAGAACGCCAGTGGCTGTATCTATTCGGTCCGAGTTTTGCCCAATTCACAAAAGAAAACATGTCAGAGTTTCAATATAATGTCATACTTATTTTGGCTGAATTGAAAAGCTGTGTTCATTGGTTGGGACAATTTAATAATGATAAAAGCTGTGATTTATGGAAGTACGTAGAACGCCAGTGGCTGTATCTATTCGGTCCGAGTTTTGCCCAATTCACAAAAGAAAACATGTCAGAGTTTCAATATAATGTCATACTTATTTTGGCTGAATTGAAAAGCTGTGTTCATTGGTTGGGACAATTTAATAATGATAAAAGCTGTGATTTATGGAAGTACGTAGAACGCCAGTGGCTGTATCTATTCGGTCCGAGGTAACTCTGCTTACTGACCATACCCAGGATACATAAGTTCTACTTGCACTAGATTTCAGTTAACATTCCACCTTGATGGCAGGATAATAATTACAAAATAAAATTCAAAAGCAATGTTGTGAGAGTAAAAATATATCGGGGCCAGACTGGGAGTCAAACCCTGCACCTTAAATCACAACACGGTCGCTCTTACCAACTACCTCTTAATACCTAATCAGCGATAACAATTTTGCTTGCCCAATCCGAAAAAATCTAGTGAAGATCATTGAATATATGAGCAACTATAGTGGAATTCTGTAGTGTTTTGTATGCAGGGAACTGGAATATTTAAATCCGTATGCTCCCATTTTTTGTACTTATTTGCTGATAGTTATATGTATTTCGCTCGAAATTTATAACGTACGTTTCGTTTGCGTAGTAGTTAGCGTTCGATACCTTACACAGCTTCACACGCAAATGAATGAAACGAAAGATAGGTAAATCACGTCAACTTGTGAATGTTTTGAGAAATTCAATGGACCAATTGGCTCATGTAAATCAAATACCTTTATATAGTTTACACAACCAACGTATGCGAAGCAATTTTAGGTTAAAAGAAGTCATGCAAGGTTTCAGGAGACTAAAAACGTTTTATAAAATTTCTGGTGTTAAGCCGGTGTCGGGAATCAAGGGTTTACATATTTATTGCTCTTTAATCCTATGTATACAGTATAAATTACACTCCTGTGTATGTGCCATAAAACAAACGGACACTAAAGTGGTCAAAACAAACCAATTGACCACGCACACCACGAACTTTCTCATGCTCTTTTACGGCCTGATCTAACAGAGACAAACAACCGATAACCTACAATGTACCACACAACAATTCACACAGTCCCTTTCCTGGTAGGGGGCATGCATTGTTATCTCAGTTTGGGGTCTAGTTTTTACATTTCCACCCTTTCATTTATCCCTATAACGCGCTCCTAGTCCGTCGTTAGGTCAAAACGGTTTGACCACTGGCTTTGTGATCAGGATACCGCGTATCATTAAGTGACGATTGTTATGTTGGTTTAAGCAAGTATTTCATTGTAAATATCTGGTAAAGTAAACTCCTTATTGAGTATCACAAAAGTAGTAACATGTAATTTTATAGATGAGTTTACGCATCGAGTATCTCTGATGTGAGTATTTATAGTGGTCATATAAAATTGATTTAATAATAAGAATTATAATCACATATAATATAACCACAACCTCCAAATGAGTCAATTCGTCACTTTAAACCATTTTAAGTGAATCGTATTTTATTATGATGGTCGCTCCTGTTTGGTTAACGTACATTACTTCGTTGGCTAACCATTTCACATACATGTTTTGTGATTATTGTGCAATAAACCCCAAATAAAAAATATAAAATACTCGACTCCTAACTAACAAGCTATCCTACCACCACCGCTCAGTGATATCATGTTGCTAAAGGAGACACAGGTATGCTATCATAATATAGTCTGTTCCTTCGTTTACTGAGCAAAACCCCGACGTTGCTGATTATTTATCTATGGGGTGTTACTGTAAGTGAGCTCTTATTTGCTTTTAATTACACTGAATTTCTACAGTGAATTGCTAACGCAATGAAAGAAAAGTTAGTCACATGGAACGTCTTCTTTTATTTAAGTAAATATAGGTTGAAATTGTGGCAAATGACACTCATATGATTGTATAATTTGCTTTGGGGAAATGTATAAGAAAATCATTTATGTATATATTATACACTGTAGCGACATGTGTCAAAGTGTATGTATTATATTCTCTAAAGCGCATTTTTAATTTAATTACACACTTTGTAATAGTGAAATTGATTGAGTGGCTGACGGAATAGCACAACATAAATAGATCACCAGTCGTGACTTAGTATAACACAGAAACGCATTAACGTCCTACAAAAACTATGTAGATCTGACGTCCCACTCGACAGCAGTGATGCCCCTACTCAATTGATATTCAATTATTTAGATTATAACCGTTATATATTGTAGCCAAACGTACCTGTATATGATCACAGTTCCTGCCTTAAAGCCATCTTTGTCCTGCAGCAACAGAAAATAAAAGGATTATTGAAGATGTAGTACAATAAGATGCGCATTTATTAAGAGTTTTGAATAAGCATTTGAAATAATTTACAATTTAGATGAAGCACTTCAGAAAATAAAAAGTAAAAATTAAAACATGTGTAAATTAATGAAAAAGGTTAAGTAAAATAAATAAATAAATAACACACAACGTCTTTGTGGCCTTCACAGTTTATAGAATAGACCCCTACATAGACAGAGGTGACATTTCAACATAAGCGGGGTGAAGTTTTTATATTGCTCGTTGTTCATAGGGATTCATAGTAATGTAACCATACTTGTTTATGGCAGGTTAACTGTCGAGAGTTAAAGAAAAGAGGAGTTTGAATAGCGTATTAAGTTGCAAGCATTGAAGGAAAATCAAATATAGGATTCAAAATTATCGTTATTCAAGGACAAACTGTCATCAATATAATTGTGTGAATGTGCATCTAACTGCTCATTGTAAATATCTTTTAAACTTAAGCATCAATTAAAAGTGAAAACTAATAATGCAGTTTATGGATTAAAATTTGAAAAAAACCCATATGAGGACAAACATCATACAAATCTTTCTTGTACATTTTCAAACATTAAAAACATTTTTGAAACTTAAGGTAATTAGCTTCTAAATCAGACTAAGTCTTTAACAACAGGATAATTAAATTGGTTGTAAAACACATATGACAAGAAACAGCTTTAGGTATAATTAACTTAACTTGAGATATAATTCAGCAGTCAACCGGCGGCAACATAGACAGGTGCAATGGTAGAGTTTTAAAATATAGAATGGTGACACGCAAGATGAACACAGACCTCCATCACCTGTTAATTAATTGTTGTCAGTTTATGTGACACCCTTCCAGTTGTGAGTCTTTTCCCTTACATTATGACGTCATCTCTCGAGAAATACACACGTGATTTTGTTGTTGTACTAATATGACAATACGTTTATACAATCATCTGTAACACCTTCTAACGATACAGTCTAATGAATGAATCAACTTTGTGCATAAATGATAATGGGACAGAAATGCTTGGGTACATTTATCAAAAACAATGTGCTACAATCGTATTATTAATTTAGTTTCGTTATTGGTGCAATGGACGAAGATGTTTGGAAATAAGTGTTTACAAATATATTTCTGATTTATTCTGATCAGAATAGCGTATTAAAAGAAAATACTGACCATGCTTGTTCATTTGCTCATATACCGTCGTGCCAATGGACATATTCAATTAATATAAACAATGATGCTCTTGGCCGTACACATCACGATGAAGTGGGCAGTGTGACAGACTATCCTGACAATAGCTGGAGGGAAGATATACAGGACTATGTCCGATTGTTAATGTCGTCCTTGGCACTGTAGAAGGTATTCGCTCATGTCAGAACTAATATCATACAATGTATCTACGTATACATTGCAATGTGATATCGTATATAGACCCATATAAGCAGTTTGTACATACTTATTACTATGGCGCTTATTCACCTATAACAAGTCAATCAAAATGTCTAGCCCTTGCTGCACATGTGTGTCGACCGGAATACTCAACTGATACAAAATGTTCATGAATATTCATATCGCAGGACGTTTTGCACTATTTGCAAGCAGATAATCATCGATAAAAGGTATCATAAATATTCATATTGCAAGGACTTTTAATAATATCTGCAAGCAGAAAATCATCGATAAAAGGTATTCATGAATATTCATATTTCAAGGACTTTTTGAATATATGCAAGCAGATAATCATCGATAAAAGGTATTCATGAATATTCATACAGCATGTGCCATATGTAATACCTTGTAATCAGAAGAACACAACTACTCATATCCAGTAATGTCTGCTGAAATGACACATAACGTACTATTTCATATATTACCTGAAGCACTCTTCCCAATATTCCGTATCATTGCTAACACCTTAACTAATATTTCTAACTTGTATTTTCTAATAACTTATTAAGGATTGTTAGTGTTATCAGTGTATTTGCATTATGTAAATAACCATCCATATGAGAAAATATTCCTTTCTACAATCCGGATAAGAATGATTGTCAGACAAGCTCCGGCTCATATCGATTCACCATCCTAATGATGACAAATTCCGTCTTTGCGTATTGCAGAGTTATCTGCTCTTGTGAGCAGGTATTGCTTGTTACGTCATTTGTTTTTGAGAGTAATGTCATCGATTTTTGAGAAAACGACGTAATTTTCTCACACAAACCAATGACGTAACAATCAATACCTGATCACAAGAGAAGATAACTCTGCAATACGCAAAGACGGAATACTCAATCCTAGTATTAATACAGCAATGGTGCATCAACAACTTGTTATCAACTACGCGATTGTTATATTATGCTAAACAACATAATATATGCTAATGCATCCGAACAGATTTTTTGTTACATAAAAACGTGGAAAGTAAAAAATGGCACGATATATACTTCATTAAAATATATAAGCATTTCATATATCTCTTAAACTGTGTATGAGACACTTAATACATTAATTATTAACTCATTCGACCCCAAAGACCCAAAAAGTGGGTCAATATGATTCATTTGTTGCAATGTGCACGATGTATATATCCATGATAAATCCACTCACGGAAAATTACAAGAAACTGATGCCTCAAACATGCATCAATATTCATTTTATATCATATATCATATATCAGATTAATTGTTTGTGCATACCGTCTGAAGTTAATGTAAATAACTAATAAAATCCTCAATACATCATAAACAGGATTTTAAATATCTTAATGCATTTTTGCTCTTGAATAGTATGAATAAATTTGACAAATTTTGCATATTAAATAGCGGTGTACATTACTGTTTGTTGCATGTAATATGGTTAACGTATGTTGTCTTGTCCCAAAAAACGAAATCTTAGCCTGTATAGCATATTTGAATACGTTGACTGTCAAACAAAGACACACTCTTGATGAAGATAGATATGCACTACATTTAGGCATTTCACAGAGTGGTATGCGTGCGATGATCGTCGAACAGTGAAGTCGAGTTAAGGTTGTTCGTTTGTCAATGGTAACTAACAAACCTGGTATTTTCAGCCTTTTATGCGCATGCTAATGATACCCAGTTGCATTACAATTAATAAATAAATAAATACTGTATACCATACCGGGAAACTTTTTACTCCAGTTTAATGTTCGCACTCTGTTATGAAGGCGAGTTTATCATTTCAGTTAGGATGAATAAATAACATAATAGACGTACTAGTTATATGTAAAGGGCGATTGCAGAACTGGGTGAATGTGGGTTTTTACTGGCGAAGGGCGAAAGTTTGAACGGGCGAAAATGTGACGGTAAAAAGTACAATGTATGTTGAATCTAGGAATGGCACTTGATACGACATTCTTGTAAAAATGACACCACTATTCTCTCTTGAATAAAACCAACAGTGTCGTAAGGTAAACTAGAACATTATATACAGGCTGTATCATAACGCCTGCACTAGAACAAAAATCAAATCTACACTCTCCTACCAAAAAATACATGGAAATAAACGGAAATATATCCGCAAACTCCAACAACCGACACTCCAATCCCATGAGAAAACTGAAATACATTGAATATTATACCTCATGCGAGGACAACGGAGGCGAAACCAGTCGTTATTTGAACAACAGGCGACAACCAACCTGGCATCAAACTCCGAAAAATATGTCGGTCACCAACTTTCTGAGACCTTTGTCTCACAATAGATACTGGCTTACAAGATTGCAATAGTAGCGTCACTAACTTCATTCAGTGATTGGTAAACATCGTGAAAGATTGTTATACAGTCGCCCTTATATACTGTAAACATTTGCTGAGGATAACAAATAAACAACCCATATATCTGCAATGTAAACTAAAGGACGTCACATGTCAGTATGGCAGTACAAGTCAAGCAACACTGACAAATCCAATGTAAATTGGGATATCGACCCTGTTAATATTGACCCGCTTTTCTACACTCATATGTTTTCTTTAAAGACCTGTTAAATAAAAAATCAAACATAAAAAATGCATTATATTTTAAATAAGATTAATCAGTTTGAAAATATGTAATATCAAAGTTTTGTTTTATGCGTAAACAATGTACGTATTTAAAACGTTCAAGTAAAACTTTGATATTATACATTTTATTGCTTGATAGTAAATAGGTCTGGTACATGAGATGAGGTACTATGCAGCCATTATATTCTGCAGCCATATCTCTGGTAATTGTGGTAGGGTATGTATATGCATCGTCCGGAATTACGATGTAGTTGATTACGGGTTCCAATGGCTACTGATATTTCGGCAGATCTCTTTTATCATATAAACCTCCTTGTTGCATTTGTTTATAACATTGCCATTCGGATATCTGTTCAAGGGAACAGTTCATAAATTATGTTTAAGTTGAATCAGAATTGTTTTCTATGAGAAATTGCAGTGACAGTTAAAATATTAAGCAGGCATATTTGTGATTGTTGCTTGCTACAGCAAAACATCAAAACAAACTTGAAACGAAATTCCTGACCTTTAAAAGTGAATGTAGGTCAAATATTTTTAGCCATCAGATTAGTTTTAAACCAGGACAACGGAATGATGGATGCCTACGTAGGCATACTTCGGAACTATAGCACCGGGCATGATATTTACATCATGTCAGATCTCGAAGATAAACAGTTCTCCTCGTCTACAGAACAAGCAAATCCCATTCGCCAAGAACATTTAATCTTCTTCCTTACGTTGACATCTTACCATGGATAGGGTTATTTTTACCTTGCCCTAGGGTTGAGACACTGACAGGAAAAGGATTGCGATTCCTTACGGCAACAATATAATGCCATTACGTCAACATTGCATTAACATTAAGGCAGCAATGCAGTGCGCCTGTCAACTTAACATTAAATTAATTCTTTGACAATGTCAATAGGGAAAGGGGAAAATCTCAACCTTCAGAGAAAGATTA